AAGCAGAAAGACATACAGACACACAAATGTTGCAGGTGTTTAGTGTTTAAACAAATGCTTAAGCATTTTACTTTAATCTAGTTACCGAGAATGATCAAAATATGACTTTTTCTTTTAAGTATCTCAAAATATTAGTTACGTGGGATTATTTAATATAAAAGTTGGCAAAGTAAGAGAATTACCAGACCCTGGAGAACTAAGTCAAAGTATGTTACATGCTGTCATGATCACTGAAATGAGGTAGAGAGTGGAATATTCTCCATTTCGTTTTATTTGTTTAAGAATTATCACACAGGGTCAAGCCCATGGAATTTCTTGGTCAGTATCTGTCTCTGGCAAAGACACCAAGAAATATGTAATTATCTTCTAAAACATCATCTTTATGGATTAGGGTTATGAACCAAACACCCTGGTGTCCCTTAGTACTCCATTATGGACTTATCATCCATCACATTAAAAAAAAGTTTTTAAAAACAATTTATATATTTCTTTTCATAGTATAATCATTTTTCCAAATGATCTGTATTCCTTTCAAATATGAACACTGAAAAAAATATGAAAAATATGAAGTTTCTAATACCAAGCTGAAGAATCCTAATTTTTAATAAATTAATTGAAGAGAATGCATACTACAATATCCTCTTTAAGATAGCCATAGACTATCCAAATAAGTAAACCCCAAATCCTTTCAACCTTATAAGTAGGCAGTTTCACTCAAAAAAAGATTATATGTATAATTATAGTGGTTTTATATTCATAAATGCAACCTAAAAAGGGTTTCACTGAAAAATGATGTCATCAGAATTTGGAAATGAAATTTCTAGTCAAACCTGTTAATGCAAACAAAGAGTGTAAATTTCAAACAACAAACAGAGTAAACTGTTCATGTCAGACTAAGGCAAAATGCTGTTAGGTTAAATACTGTAAAAAGCTAGCAGACCTACTATAATCTGGTAGATCCAAATTAGACCTTTACAGACCAGCTATTAAGTAAATACCCTAAAGAGCTAGGAATAAGCTATGGGGAAGAGCAATGGATTAGCTGTATAACTGTGCTGTGATTGTTTATTGAGGTAGGAAAAGTACAACAATGGATAATGCCAAGGAAAAAGCAAACTACCAAAAGTGTGGCAGGAAGCCTAACAAAACACAAAATCTTAGATTCTTTTAAAATCTCAAAAAAATCAGTAATGAAAAATCATACTGTATAGTATAACTTGAGAACTTAAACACATGTTCAAATGCTTGTACTAAAATAAGATAACAAAAGTGGTGGATAGCAGTGAAAAATAACACCAATATTCTCAACTTTATTTCTCTTTACGTTTAGATTTTCAAAAATCACAAACATGCATATTATGACATAATAGTGATTACTGACCAAAATTAAACAAAACAAACACCTTGTTATAAGCACATGAAAAAAAGACTATGGCTCTTTTCCTTTCCCTATGGAGGGCCAAAAACTCATTTGTCATTTGGAGACTCATATGGCATGTTGAGAGTGCAAGGGACAGAGGGTTGAGTTAACTAAGTGTTGCCCAGAAATGCGGACTTGACTGACAAACAGCAGTCAGGACTGATGGGCCAGAGACTAAGAAGACAGTTATATTACTGGGAGACTGATTACAAACAAGGGTTTGAGTAAATAAGTAAATCCATCAAGGTTAATAGGAATCCAGATTTCTCACTGTTAGAAAAAGGGAATTACAAAAATGAAAAGGCAAAAGCTAGAAAATGCTCAGTAGTAGTGGATCCAAATTAGAGGCAATGGTGAGAACTCATAGTTTTTATTTAATAGACAGATAAATAAATATACCTGTGTGTATGCCCAAATACTTGTAGGCAAACACATATAAATATATACTATCTAGCTCTGTTTCATGAAACGGCCTAGAAGCAATTGCACCCCAGCAGCAATGAGCAAATCCACTGCCCAGATCTGAATTCTAAATACTTTTCACAAATTAAAGGAATCAGCACTCCCTGGAGAAATGGCTCATTCCAAAGCTGGGGTAGGGAAAGTACCAGATGAGCCTTGAACACATTGTTGTATCAGAAAGGAAATGCTGAAGGAATGACAGGGACATGTCAAAAAGACACAGGAGACAGCTTCAATGGGGTCCCATGAGGTAGATCTGGGACAATCTGAATATTAAAATAAATGACAGTAACTATGTCATTAAATAAAATCAAAATCATGAATCCAAACAACAATAAGTTTAAAAAAAAGAATAAGTAAATAAATGGGGTAGAAGAAAAACCTCTATCCTATGGTATAAAACCAACTAATAAATCCAAACGGAAAAACAAAATGAAAATCAGCATTTAACAACTCATTGTAGTAACACTGATTC